GACTCGAAGCCATTTGCATTCCCGTGTAGCACGTCTTAGTACTACATCGAGCTTCTAAGATAAGCTACGGCAAGGAAGCGCTCAAGAAAAACATCTGCTTTAACCAAAACAGCGTCTGCTAACCAAAATAGCGAAAAATACCGCTGATTTCTTAGTTATGTTAGTGAATGCGATGTTGCTTCGACATTTTGACAACAAAATCGTCATTTCCAGACAAGTAGTCCGTTTCTGAGTCGGCCTGTATCCTATCAGTATCACTTAACTCTTCTGGCCCAATTTAGCACTAGTTTAATAAAAAACTGCTTACTCGACCAGCCTTTGACTCGGAAAAGTAGAGGCGCTGGTTAGTCGTGTCGAGTGCTAAATGATTCAGTTCAGTGATTTCACTGGAAACAATAACCAGTGGATTTTTTCCATCCAAGTCAGCCCGAGCCACCTGCAGAAGGAGAAAGATCGTGGTAAAAATAATGATTAAAATTAAACAAGCATCAAACTTAAAATTTTAATACTTATTAACTGAAAAATGCGTCAGAAGACACAACGCCAATTGGAAGTACAAAAAAAGTTAGAATATTTCGATAAGCATATACCAATAAAAGAGCAAAGTAAACTGTAAGCTGTAGTATTTCGATAAGCAGTAATCAGAAATATAATAAAGTGAAAAAAAACTGAAAATAACTACAAATAATGACGGATTTTTTCATTCGCCATGAATCAGTTCGCCTCTTCTCAGTCTGAACTTTAACAAAGCCTTAAAAATCATCCAAGCTTCCGTTCCCACCACGGCCAGCGACCACGATGAAGTGGACGACCTGGCATAACTGCACTTGCCGTGTTCGACCATCCCGGTAATATCACTATCATGGAACACCTATACTGATTTCCAAGGGTGGCATTTTGATATTCTAGTTGGTGGTATCAATAAACTTCACTACTAAATTGTTGCCTGAAGTTCTCTATTTTGAAAAACTAATAAATTCTTGCTACAAAATTTTGCAAACTGCAAATGCAAAAGTAAAGTTACAACAGTACAGTTCTAATAAATGAAGTACAAATCAACACATTTTCTTAGAGGAATTTAAATTAAAATAATTGCCTTCGGTAAAGAAGCTCCACCGCCTCGATCCAACCAAAAAAGAAGTCCACGATCAGAGTCAACTGCCAGCGCAACTGGATTCGCAACTGCCGTCGGCGACTGATCATTACTCAGAATCGTAGCGCGATACTACAAAAGCTTTTCCTCACAGTCAGCCATAAAATTAACTTAAATATTAATTTTCAGGCACAAGCTAGGGAATACTGTTGGCTTTTAATTGCTATAAAGTGACAGGTTGTGTTTTTGAAAAATTTAAAATCCAGCAAGAAAGCTTTTCTTAAAAAGCGCACGAGATCACCTGAATATCTTTGGTTCGCACAACCTCAATAGTTTGCGAGATTTTATTTGCCACATACATATTTCTTCCAATCCAATCCATTGCCATAGCATACGAATCGTCCGGGATCTGGGATGCGACAATCTGAAATATAATGTACAAAAGTTTATTGTTGCTGCCTCAGTATCGGTATTAATTTTGGAGTCCTCCTGCTGGCCTATTTGATTTGCTGTTTGCACCGCCTGACTGAGCAGGAAATGAACAGCGAAGACAAATATTTTCTTTTTCAGATAACAACAGAAAACCCTTTTTTGCGGGGAACTAGTGGCATTTCAATGTTTCAGCCCTTTATGTCGATATCCTGCCCATTCGCTCATTCATTATTGTGCAATTTTCCTGTTCGTTCGGTGAGTGGTGACAAAACGCTGCCTAGCGTAAACGTGCACAAAGCAAGACAAGTAACTAAAGAAGCAGAAATGAAACTTTTTCATTGTGCCCCAAAATACCCCTACACTGCCACTTCAGACGTCAGTATTGCAACAGCCGCTGCGCCAACTTGAACAACTGCAATGAAGGATTGGCTTGACAAGTCTTGCGACCTTGCTCAGTTTGTTGTCCCGGTACTGGTTTCGAGTACTGCCAGTCCATAACAAAATGAAGCAGGTGGCTTTGTCAAATTAATAAAAAACCCGGGCTGGAACGCACCCGGCTTGACGGTGCGACCATGCTTTTTGCACTAAACTCGCGAGTCGCTAATAGCAGAAATAATTCCTGCGCTACAACCAAATATTTGGGTTCATATTGGTCATGCTTTGGTTTCCTCCTGCATGCGGCAGAATGGGCATCGCTTGGGGTGAGGATGTTGCGCTATACAGCCGCATCGATCTGCAGGTACATGATTACCAGTTTTTTGCATGAAGCTCGGTCTTTTATTCAACAAATGCTAGCTTTTTGAAAAAATGAAAATGCAAATTTCCAGTTCACTAAAAAAGTTCAAATGGAGTCTGAAAACGCCGCATGATTGCTCCTATCTGCCAATCTTTTTTTTTTAACTTCGAAAAAACTCTATAGTGCTCCATATTTAGCATGCAGTTACACTTCTTTTTTTCACCACTGCCAGGGATTCTGCTTCCAGCTCAAAAGTAAATAACCTTTTTAAAATCTAACAAAACGAAATCAATTTTCTGGCACAAGCTACAATAGTATTTGCGTAAATAATGAAAATTAAAGGAATTTTTGTCAAAAACCTAGCACCATACCAGCGTTCGATTTATTCTGTCCGGCAAAATTTGCATAATTCGTGATTCTGAAAGACTGTTTGGACCAATAATGCGCCCAGTTGTTCCGTGCTCTAGATAAAATATCTGCAAAAAAAAAGTATACAAACTATGCTATTTTCTCAAATTCACTAAACTGTTATGCTAACACCAACTTTTCGTGTTTTCTACAAGTAACCAAAAAACTGCAAAAAATTACAAAAATGAAAACTAAATAAAACAAGTTTTTTACTGGAATGTCGAAATTTCACCTCTGTTGTTTCTGGGTCATATGCTGCATCATATGTGTTGCTAAGACCAGCCAAAGGCACCATTCCGGAGAGTGCTGGTGTGCCGTTTACTGCTTCATCCATTGATAAGCCGTAGATGTTGGTTTTCTGGATAAGCATCAAAAATGGTTTCATATCACTAATGCAGTTCTTACCAGCTGCGTCCAAAATCTTCCCCATCGGGCATTTGCACGTATAAGTCTAAAACAAAACACCCATCGAGTATCACTGAATTTTTTAATAAAAATCAAAAACACACCGTGGTGCGATTGTGTCATATGAACTTTTGAAAATAAATAAAGTCCGGAGTAACGTAAGATGTGAAGCGGGACAAAGGTCTTTGAGAGAAGGCTGAAATTTGTGCTTAAATCTCCACCTGTCCTAATTATGGTTTTAATCCAATTCATACAAGTGCTGTAACTCCAGAATTATAACTGGAAGTTTCGAACTCAAAATAATAGTGTCTTATAAACGCTTTTTTTCATGCGCTAATTCATCTTTCTTTGTAATGACTCGTTAAAATATACTTAACCGGAAAATCGCAGCAATTATTACTCAAAAAAATATTTGCTACAAAACAAATTAGCTACTGATAATAAGGGATGCTCCAAATAAAAACTGCTTTATAGATCTCTACGAATTAAAGTGAAAAGTCAGAACTCCTCCAAATTTCATTTTCTATGATATTAGTTGATTAAAAGTTGATTAAAATCAAGCTACTGATTAGTGGTAAAATCAAATACATTAAAAGAAACGTAATGTAAAGCATATTTCTTTAAAGTGATAAAAATAAAATTTCAGAGGATACCATTCCTGATAAAAGTGTCTTAAAATGCTCCACAATTTAACCATCAGATTCGGATATAGTGACAATTGTGGCTGCGTTTGTTCGTGAAAAACCAACCATTTGCTTGCCGATTAAGCATAAATCTGAGCAGGGATCACCAGCACATGGATTCTTTTCGCTGCGCGGTTGCAAGATTGGATGTACAGCAGTGACCCCTAGCGCTTTAGAAAATGTATGCGAGGGATACTCCATTGATGTGCCATTTGGATACTTCGGATAAAGCTGAAGTCGTTGCAAACGCCGATCACTATAGTAAATCATATCTTCAAATACTGCTAGAGCATGTGGATGCTGCACAAACTTTGTCGATGACAGTACTTGAGTACGACCTAAAATAAGTTTCAAAGCGGCACCAATTATAATGCTGTGTTCTCAGTGGGTAATAAAAAAATCTAATTCAAAATGACATTCGATTGGATTGAGGCATAGCTTTTAACCATTTCTACCCTGCTTCTTTGAATAAAGTTTTTCGTGCTCCAAAGCAATTGACGTTTCTTAATGATTTTGTTGCTCTTTTTGCTGGGTTTTTTGGGAGAACTATTAAGAAGTATAGAAAGTTTGAAAAGTCTGCAATGCTCTTACCACCGCCATCGTAGTTGACAAAATCGATGTAATCCAATTTACTGTCAGCAAAATAAACGCGGTCGGTGGTCAGGTCAAGTGCAATAGTATTCGGCCAATAAATCTTTGTGTTCACCAAAATGCGCCGTTCTGTGCCATCCATGTTGGCACGCTCGATACGTGGATTCTAAGTGGGAAGGAGGTATCATTTAATAGTTAATGACCGTATGAGAACACTTCATGTGAGCAGTGATTATAAAAAATAAGTGCTATCATGACAGAAGACGCAAAAATAGTACAGCTGGGAAGACAGTGATAGCAGGTGATAAACTGAGGCAAATCAGTCAAGTGACGAGAGTTTGGCATAAATCCCCACAAACGACAGCGAATTTTTACTTCGTAAGCTCAAAAAACAATAAACTGTGCAAGTAAAATTCTGAATGATTCTGAAGAACTCTGAAATTCTGAAATAGTTCTGAATAAAGGACGATTTGAAAACTTATGGCGTACAGATGTGAGTATAATTTAAGCAAAGAGGATTATCGCGAAAATTGTAGCAAAAATTTTTACCTGTCCCCAGTCAGTCCAAAACAGAAGGCCTTTTGTTGGATCTACTGCAATACCGCGTGGCTGATCAACATTTTCATGAATCAGCACAGTCCTGAAATTCACACTATTCATATGCGCAGAAACTGCGATGCAGCAGTTTTCGGAGTAAATGGGTGAAGAGCAAGCTTGTGGCAGCTTTCACGCGCTAAAAAAAATTCCAAAAAAGTAAACCTCGCACTCGGTCGTTCCAGGGAGGCCACTTCAACAGTATTCAAACTTGAATCCACCCAGTACAAATTGCGCGCCACCCAATCGAGCGTGATGCCCTCCGTGATATCCAAACCCTCGCCAATAAAGACGGTCACATTGGTTCCATTTCGAGTTGCTGAGTAGATTTTTTTCTCCCGTATATCGGACCTGCAATCAAATAAAACTTTCTCGCCGATTACTAGAAACGTCGCCAAACTATCTCCATGGAGGCTGCTATTCTGCCTACTGCCAGCTCTTATTTGCGGTCCATTGCTTCTCGACACCGTTTCTTATTGTTCCGAATGCTATCCTATGTAGAAGTATACACAACATAA